AGGGCTGAGCTGCGGAAGGAACGGGACGACGCTGCGGCGGAGAGGGATGAGCTGCGGAAGGAACGGGACGACGCTGCGGCGGAGAGGGATGAGCTGCGGAAGGAACTGGATGGCGCTGCGGCGGAGAGGGATGAGCTGCGGAAGGAACCGGTTTATGATCGGTCTGTTGAAGGTGGCGCGTTGATTTCGTCGCGCCTTGATGATGATGGTGTGTCCAGTCGTGTGCTGTACGGGAGTTTGGACGTTTTTCGTTCGACCTCGTCGTTGCTGCGTTGGGAGCAGCAATTTTGTGCGGGTGCAGTTTTGGACAGTGGTTCGTCCTATGAAGGGAGTGAGCCTTTGATTGTGGATCGAGTGGATGAGGTGCCCGAGCGTGCGTCGAGCGCTCCTTCATCACGTGATGCGGTGTTGAGTGAGCTTCGTGTTGTTGATGATTTTTATGAACCAGAACGGCAGCATGAAGTTTCTGACAACTCGCGTCTGATGGCTGTCGAGCCTACAGTGGGCTTGTGCCGAAGGTGCAACGGCGCTGCACGGGAGGGGTACACTGTGTCTTCGCTACCGTACAGGGGGCGCCTTCCCCTCGTTGGTAGCGGGGCGACCCTTGGCAGTTTTCGTGACTGATCTTTTTGTTTTATTTCGTATTATTTGTCAAAGCTGCGAAACTATCGCGTATGAGCTGATATGTGTATAGTTTGTTTGTGTGTGCGTTTATGTTTGAGATTTTGTTTTTGTTTTTGTTTACAAATATGCGTCGTTCGTTTAGTTGTAGGGCTCTGCTTTTTTTTTGTTTTTGATTGTCGTGAGTGCATGGACGGTTGTGGTTTAGTTTAATTTTGTTTGTGCGGGGAGACTTTTTTGCCTTGGGGGCTGCGCAGGCGATTGTGATGGGTGTTTGCGGTCATCCGTAGAATCTTTTTTTTCTTTGTTCATTTTGATCCCTTTTTTTTTGTTTGTCTTTCGTCGCCGCGAGGGCAGGCTGCTGCGGCGACGTGTTTGGGCGCTGGGGGCGGGATGGAGAAGAAGCCGCCCTCGCTCTGTGCCCGCCTGGAGAGGGCCATCACGGCTTTTCTCTACACCGGCCCTCCCGGGCGTTCGCGGGCGTGGCTGATGGGGCTGCAGGTTCCGCTGTGGTTCTGGACGCACCAGCTCACCGTGGAGGGCGAGCGGGAGGGACGCGAGGTGCAGAAGGTGGTGAATCTGCTGCGCTGGTTCCACGACAATGGCGCAAGTCTGACGCAAGTCGCGGTTGTTGTCCCGGGGGAGGTGAAGGTGCGGCTGCGGGCCGAGCTGTTGACGGCGCTGCAGATCGGCACGGTGTCAGACGAGTTGGCGCTGCCGACGCTGTTGGCGCCACACGAGTTGACCGCGATGAATGGCCGTGACCGCGTTGTGCACCAGTTTGAGGTTGTTCTTTATGTCTTGGCCCTCCCCCCAGTGGGCCGCTGCCTGCCTGTGGCGATGCAGCAAGAGCAGTTTCTTGGCGACGCGATTGCGAGCGCCAGAGGTGCGTTTATTTTAATTGGGGACGTGGGCTGGACCGCACCGCACATCACAGTCCACTGGCCGCAGTGGAGAACGTTTGTCATGAAGTTAGAGGAGGAGACGCCCCACGTTTCCTCACAAGGCAATGCAAAGTTGCCTGATGCTGCGAGATTTCCCACGTTGGTGGGGACCCACATCCCGTTATGTTGTGCAAGGCACGTGGAGCAGCGGCAGCTGGAGCACGGCGTCGCGCCAATCGCCCGCACCTGCCGGCGGTTGTGTCTTCAGCCCTTTCTTTGTCAGCGGGAGGGGCATGTGTGCCTGGAGCCATGCCACCCACGTGTGTCGCATACAAACTGCCCGTACGCATGCCAAACGCTTCTGCCGTGTGCCCATGAGTGCTTGCAGAGCTGCTCAGAGCGATGTAATTGCTTTGAAGTCCACGAGCATCCCCTTGCCTGCTCCCACAAGACTGTTATCGGCATGGATAAGGTTACCATGCAGCCCATCTACGCCGAGGTTCGACATATATTTAAAGGCTACTGCGTCGATGCCGAGTTCCCCTGTGTTGTTGAATATACTACCGACTGTGCACGGTGTTTAGGGCCCTTGACAACGACGTGTTCGGAGGCGCGGCAGCAGAACCATACCTTGGAGCAGAAGACAATGTTGTGCCCAGGCTGCATTCGTTTGGAGCGTGAGGTGCGGGCCAAAGTTTTGGGCGAAATTCTTGTCAAGACAGAGGAGGCGAAACGGCAGATGAAGGTGGAGATGCAGCGAAGTTTGCACCAGCAGCGAAAGGCGTCGTCGCAGGGGCTGTTTCAGGAGGGCAGTCGCGTTACAATATGCGACGTTCTCAAGATTGTCAAGCCCTTGTGCGCCGATGCGGACTTCCCTGGTGTGCAGTTTGTGGACTACGACGCTCCCGATTTCCATGCCAGCATGGATGGGGCGTATGGGACGTTTGTCAGCCGCCACGTGGATATTGACGACCTCAGCGAGGTGCGCAACCTTATTCGACTGCGCGACGGCAAGCACGTGCTGGTGGCTGACGGCGGCGTCAGTCTGATTCGCGCGCTCACCTCCAACATCACACAGCAGGCCCCGGCGCTTCTCTTGACGTACGGCGGTGGGGCTGGCGGCGGCGACGGCCGTGGCGGGCCTGCCTCACTGAGGGACAGTGTGGCCTTTGCCAAGGCGGCGAAGATGATTGGTCGGAGTTACTACCTTCCCGTCCCTGTGCCGTGCGGCGACAGCGTCGTTTCCGACAAAATTGTGCGGGTGACGGCGGTGGACCCCGCGTCTCCAGAGGGCGTTGTGGTGGAGTGCACCCGCACCTCCGTCGTTCCGCACGCCGAGGAGGACCACGGCGACGGTGCTGCCGAAACCGAAGCCGACGTCGACGCCGATAGGAGCAACACTGCAGCCTCCGACGCCCCGGCGCGCAAGCGGCCCCGACCGGAGGCCGCACCGCCGAAGTTGCACCACCTTCGCACCTCCGTCGAGCCCTTGACGTTCACTGTCCCTGTTGCTCTGCTGGAGCCAATCGAGGGCTACGCGGCTGGGAGGGAGGTGGTGGTGCTCGACCCCACCCGTCAGGTGACTAACCCGCGCGACGTGGAAATCTTCGAGGCGGTTTTGGCGCAAACGCCTGGCATTGATTTGCAGGGCGCCGCGGTCTCAACGGTGCCGGTGGGGAAGGACACCTCTTTTATACTCCTTGGCGTCGTGAACTCGCCGTCAAACCTGGAGAAGCAGTACGGCCCCTGCGCCGTGCTGCGGCGCCACGTGCGACTCGTCACGGTGCGTTCGGGGCGGCGCGGAAGGGGGGCGCACGGACGCCCCGCCGCCGTGCACCACGTGACGAACGCCAACAGTGGCGCGGGGGGCACGCTGGTGGTTCTCGTCCCGTTTGTTTTTACCGCCGCCGATGAACTGCTGGAGGCGGAGAACAGCCTCGACGCCGCCGCTGCGGAGAAGTTCGAGCAGCAGGTGCGCGACACGATCGCCGAGAGGAGTGAGGAGCTGGCGATCAGGCACGACGAGGAGGCCTTCCATCGGCAGCGGCAGATGCCGGAGGTGACGGCGGAGGCGCTCGCGCAGGACCGGTTTGCGTACAGCGTACCGATCGCTCTGCCGACGGCGGAGTCGCTCGCGGGCGTTCGCACACGCCACGCGCGGCTGTTGTGCGCGTCGCCCACCTCCCTGCGGCTGAGCAGGCAGAAGGACGCCCTCGCGCTAAAGCAGCAGCAGCTGGGCCTCGGCAAGTGGGTTGAGGCGATGCGGACCCGCTACGCGCAGGACAGGGCGGCGGATGTTGCGTACTGCAAAGGGCTGCAGCTAACGGCGGCCGTGAAGAAGTGAGCGCGCCGCCGCCTCCGGTCGCAGCGGGGCATCCACGCGAGAGGCAAAAGCAGCAAAAAGGAAACAAGAAGAGGAGGAAGCAAAAACAAAAAGATAACGATAAAGAAGAAGAAGAAGAAGAAAAAAGGAAAAGGAGCAAACAATCGGAAGGGAATGAAAGTACGGGGCGAAAGTGGCGGGGTGCGGCGCAATGCACAGAGGGATGTGTTCCGAGGCCCCCGCCACCACCATGCGGCTCGCGAGGGGATGCGAAGTTGCCGCTTTGCTTCACCCCTGCCATTACGCCTTCCGCGTTCTCCCGGCCCCTCCCGCCCGTTCTTTTTTCTTTTTCTTTTATTTTTATTTTTGTTCAATTTCCCCTTTTTTGCTTCTTTGTTTCTCTCCATCTCTCGATGTGTGTGTCTCTCTGCGTCGTTCCGCCGCCACTGCCCCTCTGGCGTGCGGCGCAGTGTTTGAGCGGGGCGATTGCGGCGAGCGAAGACCAGGCGCGAGGTCCCCCCGACAAGGAAGAAGTTATCGACAGCGAAGAAGGCGGCGGCAGTAGCGAAGGAGGTGGACAAGGCGCCGAGGCCACAAGAGAAGCAAAAACAAAAACAGAAATCCAACAGTAAAACAGGAAAAGGAAAACAAACGATCAAAGAGGCGGGGGTTGTTGCGCCGGCAATGGAGCGCATTGCGGTGAAGCAGCAGGTGTACTACCACCTGCCGCAGAAGGGCTGGCTGCGGGGTGTGATAGAGGCGGTGCTCGAGGGCGAGAAGAAGGCGCAGGTGGTGAGTGCGGCGACCGGAAACACGGAGACGGTTCCACTGACGCAGATCCACGGCTACATGGAGCAGGCCTACGACGCGAGTGACCCGGACTTGTTTCACCTGAGCGACCTCCACGTGGCGACCACCCTGTACTGCATCAAGGAGCGCTTTGAGAAGCTGAAGCAGCAGTACTCCATTATGGGGGAGATGATTCTCAGCGTCAACCCCTTCCAACTCATGCCCTTCAACAGCGACTCCCATCGGGAGAAGTACCTCAACGCCAGACAGGCCCACCTTTTGCCGCCGCATATTTGGCAGGTGGCGCACAGGGCCTACGCCCAGATTGTCATTCGGGGTCTTGGGAACCAGTCCGTCGTCATCTCCGGCGAATCCGGGAGTGGGAAGACGGAGAACACCAAAATGCTGATCGCCTACCTTGGGGAGATGAGCCACATGCACAGCAGCAACACCATGCAGAAGAAGGTGGCCGACAAGGTGGCCGACTGCCTAAAGTGGAGCAATCCCGTGCTGGAGTCCTTCGGAAATGCCCGCACGGTGCGCAATGACAACTCATCGCGCTTTGGCAAGTACATCAAGCTTTACTTTGACCCAAGCTCTGGGGTCATGCTCGGTGGCCAGACGGTGACATACCTGCTGGAGAAGAGCCGACTACTGCTACAGGCCGCGGGGGAGCGGAATTATCACATCTTCTACGAGATGCTCGCGGGGCTTTCGCCGGAGGAAAAGAAAGAACTCGGTGGCCTCAAATCTGCGCGTGATTATAAGTGCCTAAGCGGCGGGCACACCTTCGATCGACACGGTGTGGATGGCAGAGTCTTGAATGATGCGCATGAGTTTCGGAATGTGCTTCACGGCCTTACCGCCATTGGCGTCGGCGTCTGTGTGCGGAAGAGCATTCTCAAGATCTTGGCAAGTATTCTCCATCTGCTGGAGCTGCGCTTCGACGTGGACCAAAACGACAAGGCATGCATTGAGGATGAGGCGCCGTTTCACATCGCCTGCTCCCTGCTGCAGGTGGAACCTGCGCTGCTGCTGGAGTGCTTCCTTGTGAAGAGCCACACGAGCCTCGTAACGATTTACGCCAACAAGGCAGAGGCGGAGGGATTGCGTGGTGCGTTCTGCAAAGCCATCTACGTGGGCCTCTTCGATCGCATCGTGGATTTTGTAAACAACGCCATTGAGCCGCAAGAGGATGTCAGCCACTGCAAGTACATTGGGCTTCTGGACATCTTCGGCTTTGAGAACTTCACACGCAACAGTTTTGAGCAAATCTGCATCAACTACGCCAATGAGGCGCTGCAAAACCACTACAACAAATACACCTTTCTGAACGATGAGGCGGAGTGCGAGCGGGAAGGCATTGAGGTTCCAAAAATTGTTTTTCCCGACAACTCGGAGTGTGTGAAGATGTTTGACCAAAAGAAGGCCGGCATCTTCTCCCTGCTCGACGAGGAGTGCCACTTTAAGGGCGGCACCGCCGAGCGCTTCACGCAGACCCTTTGGGACATCTGGGGAGAGAAGGGCAAGTACTTTGTGCAGCCCAAGAGCACCGTGCCGAACCAGTTCGGCGTCAATCACTACGCGGCGTTTGTGAGCTACAACACGGAGGAGTGGCTGGAGAAGAACACGGACAGGGTGAAGGAAGAGGCGTATCAGTGCATCCTCAACTCCAAGGACCCGTTTATTCAGACCCTGACGCCGAACGATTACACCTCGGATAGACGCAAACAGACGGTGGCCCTCCGCTTTCAGGCGCAGTTGGCCGACCTGCGGGCGGAGCTGGAAACAACCGAGACGCAGTTTATCCGCTGCATCAAGCCCAACATGGAGGCCAGTCCCGACACTCTGGACAACTGCCTTGTCAGCAACCAGTTGGAGTCGGCCGGTGTACTGCAGACAATTGCGCTAAAGCGTCAGGGATACCCTGTGCGCCGTTTGATTGAGCAATTCTGCAAATATTTTTGTCTCATCATGCCGCAGGCAACGCTGAAGCTGTACAGGCAAAAGAACTTTAAGTCCGCCGCAACCAACTTCCTCGGCTACTACCAAAAACTGTACGGTTGGCAGAAGCCAAACTACGCCATTGGACACACAAAAGTGTTTCTCCGTGCGGAGGTTTGGTCCTCCGTCGAGCGGCTGCTTCTGCGGCGTAAAGCGTGGCTCTTGCGCCGATGTGTGCCCTTCCTGCTACGGTGGGTTTACACCAACCGGGAACTAAGGCGTCTTGCCGAGGAGCGGCGAAAGGAGGAGCTGCGCCAGGCCAAGGCGGAACGTGAGCGTTTAATTGCGGAGATCAACGCAAACGGCTTTACGCCGAAGCAAATGGAGTGGGTGGAGGAGCTTGCCACCCTCTTTCCCACCGTTGACGTCTCGACGCTCATCGACGTGGTTGCGGTCCTGCCGAAGCGCGAGGAGTCTCTGGCGGCCGTGGCGGAGATGCAGCAACAGAGCGTTGACGGCTCCCTCGCGTGCACCTTTATGCGTGTCATGAGTGAGGCCGAGGTGCGACCGGCGGTGGTGAAGGCCCTGGTGGAGGGCGAAGTGACCACCCTGGCGAGGCTGTCGCAGTGCGAGCAGGCGGAACTCAAAGAGTTCGGTATGACAGACGCCGAGGTTGCCGCCGTGGCCCGCACGATGCTCAGGGAACAGTCCGCCCGCGTGAAGCTGGAGCGGCTCCAGAGCAACATTGGGACAACGCAGCTGGAAAGAGTTGTCGGCGAGGTGAAGCGCCGTGTTTTAACGCAGTCCGACTTCGCCACGAAGGTGGGCAAACTCATGGAAATGGGATTCCCCCGCGGCCACGCGGAACTCGCATTGACGCACTACAGCGGCGACGTGCAGAAGGCGGCAGAGCGCCTGCTGCAGGGCGGGGTTGCGAGGCACATCCACGAGAAACCCCCCCACGGCGACAACGGCAGGTGGACCTCCCTCGACCCCGAGGTGCAGCGGCTCGTGAAGCTCGGCGTGTCGAAAGCCGATGCAAAGCAGGTGCTTCGCAAGACCAGCGGAAACGTTGACGAGGCCGTCCGACGGCTTTTTCCCCCGGTTTCATGACGACAAGCACACACCCTCCTCTTCTCCCACTTACCCACCCTGTTTTTATTTTTATGTGTAGATTCCCCCCCCCCTTCTGCCGCAGCATCTTTCTGCACCTCTGCGGCCTTACCGTACTGCCCGTCGAATTCGAGTAACGACATCTCGAAGGACGAAGAAAGAAACAAAAAGGAAACTGGACAAAAGTCCAATAATTAAAAAAACAAAAGAAAACATGCATAGCATAGAAGAAGGGAGCAGAAAAAGAGTTAGGGATGTGGGGGCTGTTGAAGCCCCGTGGGAGTGCCTCCCCTCTTATTTCCTTTTTCTTCGTCTTCCATGTTGGTACTCGATTTCTTAGATTACCTGCGTGCGTGGGGTTGGCGTTTTTATTCTTATTGTGCGTTAATGTGGATATGTTGCACTGTCATTCATCTGTCTGTCGTGGCTGTGTGTGGGGGAAGAGAACGGACGGGGGAGTGGGTTTGCTTGCGATTATTTGCTCTACTTTGTCGCCGTGGGCACGTGGGTGTGCACCGGAACGACTTGCTACCGCCATGATTTGTCGTTGCCTCGCAGGTGTGGGTGCAGCAACCCACTGTTGTTGTATTTTAATGCAGCGGCTGTTTGAATGGAGGGGGTGGTTCCGCAGGTGGGCTCAGCGCACACTGAGGGGGAAGGAGGGGGGGGGGGGAGGGGCATCAATCCACAGATGCATGAGTGATCATCCCCCAGGGACTCGGGCTGAAGCACGTAAGGAAAACCCCACGCGGTGAATGCATACGAGGAGATAAGACAAGGACAATGAGACCAGTGGAGTATGGCAAACATTTTTTTTTGTTAGCTGTGCCTGACAAACTCCTCCTCCTCTCCCCTTCATAGTATATTCTTCTTTCCTCCCGCACCGATATGTAATGAAGTGTGTTGGGGACTCTTTCTCCTGTCTACATTAATAATGGCCTTCCCATTTTCCATTCTTTTTTGTTGTTGTTTATGTGTTTCTTCTTCTTAATACCAACACAGTTGCTCTCTACCCGTGTGGACATTTCTTGTCCGGGAGAGAATGTCTGTGGCGACTGGGGCGGTGGGGGACCGCGCGGCTCTGCGATCCGCAGGCGAATGCTTAGAAAAAGGGGTCTTGAGGGCGCGTGCGTGCAGAGCTGTGGCGGGTGGCGGGGGTTGCCTGCAGTACAGTGTTCGTTGCGTGCGTATGTCGGTTTTCGACATGGACGGTTGTATACGCAAACTCCCAACCCCCCACTTTTTTTTCCCCTTCTGATTCTTCCGCCGCTTGGCTTTTGTCGCCAGTGGCGCTGCCGTCGTTTTGTTTTGTTTTCTCCCTCTCGTTTGTTTGTTTCTGGGTTTGCTGCCCTCGCCCTTGTCGATGTTTATATATATATATATTTTGTTTGTTTGACCTGCCGCTGGCAGTTGCCGTGGCGATGTTTTCGGCGTTATGCTGTCCGACGCACCGTGACCGAGGCAAAAACAGCAGCAGCAGCAGCAACAACAACAAAAGAGGATGCGGCGGCACCTGCCGGTTTTTGGTTTCGGTGTGGCTTGCCACATTTTTATTCTCTTTCATTGCCTGACCCGTTTTTTTTTTCCTTTGCGCAAAGCCACACAAGCACCGGCGCCCTCGCACACCGCTACCGGTCGGCGCTGCCGTTCAGAATCCCGCGATGGAAGTGTTGGGTCGCAGTGGACGCGGCATCATGTCGCTTGCCGCCTCGTCATCGGCGCCCACCGCCTTCGCATCTCTTGAAGACACCGGCGCTGTGACGTTGTGGGACACACGGCTGAAACGCAAGGACTACGTGTGTGTGGGCAAAGGAGCGCCACAGGAGAGGAGGGATGCCACCGAGTTGTTGCTTGCATCGGACCGACACATGGCTGTAGTTCTGGCGGAGGATATGATCATGGCCTACGACCTTCGCCAGCAGGCACTGTTGCATGCCTTCAGGCACGTTGCTGAGGCTGTGGTGTTCATTAACGGCGCCCACCCGTATGGGGCGTCAACAACTCTCATTGCCGATGATTGTGGTTCGATTATTCCATTTGATTTGGCGCAGTTTACCCCAACGACGCATGTCTCGGAGCGTTTTTTTGGGGCAGAGAAGGAGCTGGTGCCGCCCTGCTTTGGCTCCTTGACGAATTACTGCTGTGGCCTTGGTGTATTGCAGGTGGACGACATACAGGCGGTGTGTGCCATGGGGATGGACGGCAATGGGGAACTGTACACGGACCCTCTTGAGCCGCCGGTGGAATTCTGCTTGATGGATGACTTGGCCGCAGCAGAGGGGCAGGTGGTGAATCCACCCCTGCCCACAACCTGCGATTTCCTGAGCGGCTACGTGGCCGTGGGCAGGGCAAATGGCATGTACTCCGTTGCCACCGTGGACACCGATGACAACGTCGTCGTTGAGGTCTTTGCGGCGCCTGGGCACGCATCCAACGGCCTCTCTGTGGTGTTGTGGACCAATGACAGCCATCTGATGACGTGCTCCATCTGCGGTGAAGTGTCCGTGTGGGATGTGATGCCGCTCCTGCTGCAGGATGCACCCGACGATGAAACCGAAGAAGGGGATCTACCGCCTCTCAAGAAGGCCTGTAGTGTGCGTGAGACCACGCAGCAGCGGTCCGTAGTGAATTGCGGGACGATCCTTGGCTCAGGGGCGTTTCTTGCCGGTGACACGATGGGGTTCGTGACTTCGTGCGCGGCTCCGCAAGCGTGAGCCGCAGCAAAAGGTCCAAAATAACAACGCCGCATAACTAATGTGTTACAACTGTTGGAGGCGCCCGTTTGCCCCTCTTATGCACTCCTACTCACTCACTCCCTTGCGCACCCTTTTCTTTGCCTCCTACTTTGCCTGGAGGAGGCAGGAGTCACACACGCTTCCCAATTTCACCCCACTTTTGCGGATTTGAGACGCCTCTATCAGTTGACTCTCCCCATTTACTGTTTTTTTTGTCTTTTTTTGATTCTTTATTTGCCTTTTGCCCCTCTGGCGTGCGGGGCAAAGTACAACAGCGATGCTGGCGGGTGACAATGAGGCGGATGGCGCCCCAAGCTACGACTCAGCTGACGTGATTAAGCATCTGTACAATTGCAAGTTTCGCTTTTTGCTTAGAAAGACGCTGCTGAGGGACAACGTTGAGACTTATGTTATAGGGTCAGGCAGATACACCGGGGCGGGGACAACAAAGTGGGCCGACAAGGCAACGGCGGCGTTGCTGTATTTTTCGTATCGCAACCGTTTTGTGCCTCTTATGAACGGGTCAACCACCGATCTCTTCTGGGGCTGCATGATTCGGACCGGTCAAATGATGCTGGCGCATGTCTTTATGCGCTACTTTAATGGTGGTGAGCCACGCATAGACGATGAGAGGCTGCAGGAGCTGCGGGCAAAGACACAGACGCTCTTTTGTGACGTCCCATCGGCACCGTTTGGCATTCACGCCATAACTGCAGAGGGCGTTCGACATGGTGTTAGGTGCGGGGAGTGGTTTGGACCGACGCCGATAGCGAGCACGCTGAGTGCGCTCTCGGCGTCCTACCTGGCTGCAGGCGGGGAGGGGCCGGTCGTATTGTCGTTTCCTGACCGGCAAATTTTTGTGGAGCAGGTGGCGGAACTGCTGCGGCAAGCAAGGCAAGTAGTGCTGCTCATTCCTGTGATGCTTGGGCTTCGTGTCATCTCGGCGAAGTACGCGCAGCTTATGCAACGCTGTCTTGAAATGGAAAGCTCCGTCGGCATTCTTGGGGGGAAGTCGCGTTCTGCGCTTTTCCTCTTTGGTCACCAGGGCGACGCGGTGTTTTACCTGGACCCGCACTACCTCCAGCTCGCCTTCACCTCGCCGGGCAGGCCGGGGAAGCTGACGTGTGCGCGGGGGGCGTTGCCCGCAACGAGCTACGACACCTCAATGACCCTGGGATTCTACATTTCCTCCCTTGCCAGCTTTGCCGTCTTTGAGGAGGACCTGGCGAAGGCAAACGCCGGTCTGGCGTTTCCCCTTATTAGTCTCTCCGCCGGCCGACCGACCGAGGCGGCGGAGGCGGCGGTCAGCGTGGAGGACGGTTTCTTTTTCCTGCCTGGATAACATGAGAGGCGGGTGGGGAACCGAGAAGACGCAGCGTAGGGGGAGCAACGAGGAAAGTGCCCAGCGCAAGCAAAAAAGCGGTAGAAGCGACAGCTTCCATCATTAGCAGTATTATGCTCCTCGAGCAGAGGCGCGAGCAATGTGAAAAAAAAAACCCACCGTGGAAGGAAGAGTCCATGAATGGTGTTGGACAATGCATCTCAGCGTCAGCGTGTTTGTTTTGTCAAACTAACTGACCGTTTATTCTTGGTGGTGGCGCTGCTGTCGGAGATGACGGCAGTCGTGGGTCGTGTTCCCCCTCTGCGCGCCACGCAACGTCAGCGCAAGCGGCCGGCCAACTCGTTGAGGGCTGTTTGTTTCTTTGCGTCGCTGAGTATCTTTTTTTTGTTTTTCCTTATATATATATATATGTATTCAGTTACAGTGCAATATTGTGTTTCTTTGCTTGTAGAGTTACTCAGTGAATATACTGAACTTCCTGCCTTCCCCCACCTCTTTTTTTTTTTTCTCTTCGCCCTCTTCCACGTCTAAACAAATATGTCTATGCATCCTTGCTGTTTTGTATGCGCCCCTGTTCTTGCGTGCCATTTATTCTTTTTCCTCCACGTCGTGTTGTTATGTCTTTCCAGCGTGCCACTCCACCAAAACCAACAAGATGGGAAAGACTGTGCTGACCTGCCGTAAGGGCAACGGGTCCGTCTACCAGGTGCACGGCCACAAGCGCCTGGGCCCCGCCAAGCTCCGCATTCTCGACTACGCCGAGCGCCACGGCTTCATGCGTGGCGTGGTCAAGACGATTGAGCACGAGCCGGGCCGTGGCGCCCCGCTCGCCCGCGTGGAGTTCCGCCACCCGTACAAGTACCGCCGCGCGAAGGAGCTGATGGTGGCGCCGGAGGGCATGTTCACCGGCCAGTCCGTCCTCTGCGGCGTGAAGGCGCCGCTTGCCATCGGCAACGTGCTGCCCCTCGGCCAGATCACGGAGGGGTGCATCGTCTGCAACGTGGAGGCGAAGGTCGGCGACCGCGGCACCATCGCACGCGCCTCGGGCGACTACTGCATCATCATCTCGCACAACCACGAGACGGGCCGCACGCGCCTGAAGCTGCCGAGCGGGCAGAAGAAGACCGTCCCCA